GTTCTGGGCGGTAGAGGAATGTGGAATTCTCAGCTGTATGTTCTGGGTGGTAGAGGAATATGGAATTGTCAGCTGTATGTTCTGGGAGGTAGAGGAATATGGAATTGTCAGCTGTATGTTCTGGGAGGTAGAGGAATATGGAATTGTCAGCTGTATGTTCTGGGAGGTAGAGGAATATGGAATTGTCAGCTGTATGTTCTGGGTGGTAGAGGAATATGGAATTGTCAGCTGTATGTTCTGGGAGGTAAACTCATAGAAACCAGCGTTCCTATATGTTGCGAGTTCACGGTTTAATTAGCTATAATAACTCTAGCCCCAATCCTTGGAACCGAACCTCAGTGTAGTATCCTCTAATCCAGCTGCTAAGGAGCGATGTTTTTCTTACCGACCATTCTCTAGACCAAAGACTTGACCAATCTCTAGACCGAAGACTTGACCATTCTCTAGACCGAAGACTTGACCAATCTCAAGAACAAAGACTATAGAAGTCTCAAGACCCAAGATTCTACCAATGTCAAGAAGCAACAATCACCCCATTTTTCATGAAAGCTAACGAATGAAGAGGGTTGTAAAACGTGAAAAAACCCCCATAAAAATAAGATAAAAAATGATTTTACAACAGAGATTTCAGTTTTGTACGAAACTAGAAAAGTTTTTTTTTTAAAGATTCCCGTGTTTGTCACGTGGTTGACTGTTAACTTTAAGTGTTAAAAACATTGTTCTAAAATTAAGATGCGGTACAACCTGACGGGCCACATGACCGGCAGACCACCGTGTAGATGTTGACCTATCACAGTCAGCCCATTGACAGCCACGGCCTACCAGACAAACTCAACGTTTGCTTACCTCGTGTGACGACGGCGCAACTCCCCTTTTTTTTTACCCGTCGACAGAAAAAAACACAGAATAAATATTTTTATGTGTAACTTTAAAAAAAAAAATAAAATGAATGACGTTTTATCAAAGAGGAGTTAAAACGCACTAAAGATTAGAAAATAATTTACAATTTCTTAAAATGCGTTATGGAAAGAAAACCATGTTGAAGTGTAGATGAGCACTCTACATGAAGCCAGACAAAGACTGTGCAGAATTATAATTTAGAGCTCTGTGAAGCCAAAGGAAGACTGTGCAGATTTGAAGTTGAGAACCCTTTGAAGCTAAAAGAAGACTGTGTAGAAGTATAGATGAGAACTCTATGAAGCCAAAGGAAGACTGTGTAGAAGTGTAGGTGAGAACTGAATGTAGACGAAACTTAAATATTAAAAAAAAAAAAATATTTTTGAAAAATATTTCTGCACAGAACTACTTTGCGTAAGCATTTTAAGAAATTGTAAATGTTTTTTTAAAATATATTTTGTTGCTTTTTGACTCGTCTTAAGTTAAGTCGCTTTACCTGGGATTTTGTAAGCATTCCATGTTTTTAAAAAAATAAAAGAAACAATTCTACTTTTGCGGATAATTGAAAGATTATAATTTGAATGCTAAAATGGATACAACGCAAGAAAAAGTAAATGTAAAAATAAAAAATAAAAAAGAGATTTTTCTACCATAAAATAATCTGAACAGAAACTGTAAAGTAGATCTGAGCTCACCCACCCACGCGTTTACTCAACCGCGAAGCAGACGCGGTCAACCGCGATAATTTGAGCGACAAAGTCAACCCGTCTCCGCCGACCCAAGAGTAGACGCGATGTTGACACAACTCAGCGGGAACAAGACGATTAACACCTTTCAGGCGATTGCTTCACGAAAAAAAAAAAGCATGAACTGGGCGAACATGTCACATGGGCGAACATGTCACATGGGCGAACATGTCACATGGGCGAATATGTCACATGTGTAGCGCCCCATCCCCACCCCCCTCAAGCTGTCTAGGGTAAAATGCGAGCAGAAAGAGAGTTTACAAAGACTTGCCAAAGTTTTCGTTATTTTCTCGTATCTTCTGGAAACCTCTCATAAATTCTTGAAAATTGTCTGCAGGCGTTCGTCTTGTGAATTTCTATCTTTGGTTTTAGGATTAAAACGAAATTACGAAAGCGCCTCAAGGAACAGTTTGTTTTGATAAAGAAATCTTTATTTTCTGATAAAATGATTTACACTATGGACTAGTACGACGACTGTATGATATACAGTATGGACTAGTGCGACGAGTGTATGATATACAGTATGGACTAGTGCGACGAGTGTATGATATACAGTATGGACTAGTACGACGACTGTATGATATACAGTATGGACTAGTGCGACGAGTGTATGATATACAGTATGGACTAGTGCGACGAGTGTATGATATACAGTATGGACTAGTGCGACGAGTGTATGATATACACTATGGACTAGTACCACGAGTGTCCTTGTGACGAAATATTCAAACAACGAATCTTTGGTTCTGCTAAGCTAAGGCATTCATCCTAACTACGCATCAAGGCCTTAGAATTGATGCATGATAAGGTATTTTCAGTAGAATCGTGAATCTTATTAAATACAAAACCCAAAGGTATCTATGTGCACAATGTAGCGTATTCGCGTAACTAGCGATCAGCATTTACTGGAAACTCTGGTGTGGTTGTGAATATTTGCATTAATTCAGTTTTAAAAGACAAGGTTTAGGCGCCCCCCCCCCCGGCCCACGAAAGACAAGAAACTAAGCAAAAAATACATATAACAAGTTTCAAGGCAGTTTACTTAGCAAAAGTGTATATGGCAAGTATCCAGGGAGTGCACATACCAAAAGTGCACATGTCAAGTAACCAGGCAGTGCACATTACAAAAGTGCACATAGCAAGTAACCAGGCAGTGCACATGGCAAGTAACCAGGCAGTGCACATGGGAAGTAACCAGCAGTGCACATGGCACGTAACCAGGCAGTGCACATACCAAAAGTGCATATGGCAAGTAAACAGGTAGCGCACATACTAACTGTGTTATATTTAGTCTTGCCCATTATATCTATAGTCACGTCCTTAATAAAGACTTTAAAGAAATCAATGTTTTAAAAACGACCCAGGACCGCAACGCCCATCATCTCATTACCGACGCATTCCTGGGGCCAGAGGACCACCTATCCGCTAATTGATGTACTCCACGCGCCACGGAAGGACGCCATTCAGACAAAAGATCAACATTTCATCGGATCTGATAAGTGACAGATTTCTCGTGGAGAAACCTTGTCATTCGTTTTCTGCACACATACTACATCTATTGACTTTTTCCCACGCCGGGGTTTCTCATAATCTCCGACTATAGCACCCTGCAAAGTAGGCCTTGTGAAACTTTAAAAGAGCACTCCATACAAGAGCTTTTGGGTCAAAAGACGTCGTTATTTTAACATCTTTCATCTGTGTTCTGCACGACGGTAGATATAGTTAAGAATACTTCACGTGGGACCCCCCCCCCATGTCCTAAGTCGAGAATCACTGCTCCCCAAAATTTCTGCTACGGACATTTTTTTCCTCCTACGACTGGGAGGTAACTCGTCCTCGACCATCAACGTATCAAAACTTGAGTTTTCTCCCCTTAATTGCCTGTTATTCTAACCCCCACTCATCTCTCGGCCAAGTACCACCAAAACATCATGTCGTCTTGCTTAAAGCTCCCTGAATTCTCCCAAAATGGTCATTCCTGAACTTGCTACCAGAGAACATGTCAGAAACTGGTCACTGGCATGTCATGGCTCTCTGGCTACATCTTGCAATGTTACTCGTGTTAACACCGGTGAGTAGAAGCAAAGCGTCCACTTGGTTAAAATTTGTCATCAAAAGTCACTTGGTTGAAATTTGTCATCTACAGTCACTGGTTGACATTTGTCATCTACAGCCACTTGGTTGACATGTGTCATCTACAGTCACTTTGTTGACATGTGTCATCTACAGTCACTTGGTTGACATCTGTCATCTACAGTCACTTGGTTGACATGTGTCATCTACAGTCACTTTGTTGACATGTGTCATCTACAGTCACTTGGTTGACATCTGTCATCTACAGTCACTTGGTTGACATGTGTCATCTACAGTCACTTGGTTGACATGTGTCATCTACAGTCACTTGGTTGACATCTGTCATTTACAGTAATTTGGTTGACATTTGTCATGTTCAGACAATTGGTTGATATTTGTCATGTTAAGAAAATTATTTGACATATTGTCATGTTCAGACAATTATTTGACCATTTGTCATGTTCAGACAATTATTTGACCATTTGTCATGTTCAGACAATTATTTGACCATTTGTCATGTTCAGACAATTATTTGACCATTTGTCATGTTCAGACAATTGTTTGACCATTTGTCATGTTCAGACAATTATTTGACCATTTGTCATGTTCAGACAATTATTTGACCATTTGTCATGTTCCGTTTGTAAATGGAAATACTGTTGTTGTTTTTTTATTTCCGCTTGCTTCAAGTGGACATTTTATTTTAATACTTTTAATTTTGACGGGCAAATTGCTTTTTCACGTTTTCAAAAAATGACTTTTTAACAACCTAGCTCATGATGAATTAACATATAAATTAGATTTATAAACAATGATTTTATTTAACGTTTAATTTATCTCTTTTTTCCCCTCACCCCCACACTCCCAACCCCAAACATGTTCCACCCAACTGACAAACATAGGCGCTAAATGGCCAGGAGCTAGGTAGGTAGGTAGTCGAATGCTAAATGAAAGGCGACTCTAAAAAACCAATAACTCTGTGGACACCTTCTGCGGACAGCCAAACATTTGAATGAATGCGAATATCTCAGTACAGTGGAAATTGTTTTTAGTTTTAGATCTTTAATCTCTAATACACAAACTTATATTTTTTTTGTGTGTGTGGCTATTTAACTATTTTACATATTTTTTTTAATTTTTTTTTTAATTCCTCTGCCTGTTAGGGATTAATGTTTTAATTCATCAAATAATTTACTGATAGCTAAATTATTGGTTTTTCTAAACTTTAAAGTATATGCATCTATCCGTAAGTGTTCCACTTCCAAAACCTGGTTCTCTTCTCAGCATTTTTTCGATGTAACAACATTACCAAGACACTCCAGTTTGTGTTCGTCGGTGACGTGACGTCATTCTATGACCTCCACGCTGATGCCAAGATGTGAGAGTTTTGTGTGTTGAATTGTTAGAGTCGTGCTAAAACGATTGTTGAGTAGCGTTGAATATTTAGGTGGATGGCAATGAATATTTGGGTGGATGGTATTTAACATTTTGGTGGAAGGCATTTAACATTTTGGTGGAAGGCATTTAACATTTTGGTGGAAGGCATTTAACATTTTGGTGGAAGACATTTAACATTTTGGTGGATGGCATTTAACATTTTGGTGGAAGGCATTTAACATTTTGGTGGAAGGCATTTAACATTTTGGTGGATGGCATTTAACATTTTGGTGGATGCATTTAACATTTTGGTGGATTGCATTAGAAATTGCTCTAGAAATGTCATAAAACGAAGTCATCATGTAATAAAACCAGTTTTTATTAACACTACATTTATATTTTTAAACTTACAAAATAATCGCCTTGTACCGCATTAAATTGTTTGAATACTTAGTTGTCTAACATTTATACTTTGCTAAAATCGTAAGATGTCTAACTTATAAATTTTTTCAAAGGATTAAGTAATATATTACCAAAAGAAACATTAATGTTTCTCAAGCTCAAACATAAATATATATTTCTAAAGATACAAAAGCCATCGTTAAAAAACTTAATGGTAAACAATAATTGACAAAATTGTTTAGATCAACTTGTGGCATGAGAGCAGGAGCATTCACTGGGAGTGGTGTTTTTGGTGACCCTTACATTCTAGAGATCAACCTGAGTAGTGGTCTACAAGCTCAACAGCCGGACTGTGGTGTCACGGTGAGTAAACAATGGATCTCTTGGTCAGTAAACATGGAATATCTTGGTGAGTAAATATGGAATATCTTGGTGAGTAAACATGGAATGTCTTGGTGAGTAAACATGGAATCTCTTGGTGAGTAAACATAGAATATCTTGGTGAGTAAACATGGAATCTCTTGGTGAGTAAACATGGAATATCTCGTGAGTAAATATGGAATCTCTTGGTGAGTAAACATGGAATATCTCGTGAGTAAACATGGAATCTCTTGGTGAGTAAACATGGACTCTCTTGGTGAGTAAACATGGAATATCTCGTAAGTAAACATGGAATCTCTTGGTGAGTAAACATGGAATCTTTTGATGAGTAAACATGGAATCTCTTGGTGAGTAAACATGGAATCTCTTGGTGAGTAAACATGGAATCTCTTGGTGAATAAACATGGAATATCTCTTGAGTAAACATGGAATCTCTTGGTGAGTAAAGATGGAATCTCTTTGTGAGTATACTTGGCATTAATTATTGAAAATAATGATTGAAAAAAGTAGAAGTATAAAAAACTGAATCATTGGTGTAAAATTTCAAATTGTATTAAATATTAGGCAGAAAAAAAATATATTATTGAGATTGTACACATTAATAGTATAAAGCGTCGAATATTGGTTAGTACAAAATTGAACTTATTTTTTTTTTTTAGAAACAATGTTATTGTGAAAAACACTAAAATTATTCTCAGTAAAGGAAATATTCTCATAAAAAATATGTTTAAAAATATATTTTTTTCTAACGGTGAATGATAGTTAAAAGAAAAGAACCATTTCAATGTTTACTAAAGTCATCACTCCCACCAATGACGACAGAATCCAGCATATTTATTTTATGACCAGGAGTCATGCCGACGTTCGTCAACACTAAGAAATGTTTGAAATGATGTCTTGACTTTGTCTTTAGGTTTCCTGTCTTTAATAAATGACATAATAAAACCATAAGCTTTAATGAATGTTGTAAATAATTGAATGGAATAGAGCAGAAATGGATGTTAGAACAGTTTTTTACAGTTTATTCCTTTGACATTTTTCTGTAGCAATCGGCGGACTCAACACTTAACTTGACCATGGTCAAACAGAGGTCGTGTGACGGCACCACGGCCTCAGACCAGCGGTACACCAGTTCCTGTAAGATTGTTATACCAGCCCAAAACACCACAACGGTTTGTAAATGTTCACCTTATGGCCGGCAAATGTTCATGTCATTGTTCAGGGAATGTAACTGTTTGTTTTTTCTAAGAAGGGAGACAACTTGTACATAGAAAGCTGCATTTATTATTATAGATACTCTCTAAAAACGTATTTATTCATGGTGAACTTAACTTCAAGGTCACTCATCTTTTAGCCCATTGAAATATATTCTAATCTTTCTATCTGTAGTATCTGCGTACAGTAGGGTTTGTCATTTCTGACGCAGGAAAACCTCAAATCGCATTACGTAATGTTACTATTTTTAGATAATGTTTTTGTAAAAACATAGCTTCTAACAATGTATTTCGGCATATATATATAGCAGTTACAAATGTGTTGTAAAATCTTTCGAAAATGAAGTTGTAAACACGTTTTGGTTAAGACCCAACATGAACGTAAAAGTACCGAACAGCTGATGAGAGATTTGGCCAAACGGAACACCAGAATGTTTTATAAATAGCCTAATGAGATTGGCCAGACTGCAAGCCCGGATGTTCTATTAATAGATTGTCGCCCTTAAAAGACAAACCCTATAGATGCAAACATAAAGTTAATGGCGTCAAGGTTGTAAAAACAAATGGTAAATAAATGGGCTTAATTGAGTCCACTGTTCTATCAGATAAACGGACAAGCATCCTACTCCTGCATTGCGCCATCTACCATCAATTTCAATTATTACCGCCCTCTGCCGGAAGTTGTGGCCCCTGCAGACATCTACGCCACAGGAAAGAGGTCAACTTGCTCTAAATCTGCGGGGGTGGGCAGGGGTCAGGGCCTGGAGGGGAGTCCGTTCGAGACAAGGATACAGGTGACGAATACTCCAACGGATTGTGGTGTGCAGGTAAGTCATCAATCATTACCTGGTTATGAAATACTCTCTAAACTAAAAGCAAAAATTTAGTGAGCAAAAAGGGGTGGGGATGAAAATTCAACAATTTCTTTAAAAGTACATCTATTTGAATATATAATTATGATTAATAGGTAGCCCAACTCTCTACTTTTATGATGACAAAAAATAGTTTGATTAAATTAAAGCCTCAGACTAATTGCCCTCCCACTCCACCAACCCTCCCCTTTTTACGACACAGTCTGGGTTACAGTTTCATGCAGACGGGTCTGATACGACAGAGTCTCCCAATTCCCATAGGAAACACTGGTTTGTCTTTTAAAACTCTTTGAGAGCATTAAACACCAGCCCGCCTGTCTAGACGGGCTGTCAATCAAACACTTAGCCCACTGTATGCCAGATAGGTTTATCCACCTCTGCCAATAACAAAGCTACTGACAGTCAGAGCTACTTGCTACACGCTTCTTTTCCAGCTCCAGCCTGTAGGGGCTCTATTCCCATTCACAGCTTAGGAGATCTTGTGACAAAGCCCATGAGAAGATGGATTTGTCCCGTGGTAGGAATTACCCCAAAACAGCCGTTTCATCGGCCTTACAACGGATACAACTATCCCCCGTGCCGAGGCATTCAAACCACGAGCTGGTGACAGTGAGGACAGAACTTAACATAGCCTCACGTATCACCCTCATAATTTTAATGCTAAACATACATTAATTAAAAATCGTGATATTCCTGTCTGACCCTGATGCATACAACATATTCTGATCAACTCCTCTCGTAGAATTTGGACGCGATGGGAATTTACGTGAATTTATTAAATTAGTAAAAAGCCCATAGCTGAGCAGTTATATCCGAGAGGGCAGCAGCAAATGAAATTGAAAGATTCAGGTGGACAAAAATCAGGTTTCTTTGCACCTTTCTTGGCAGCAAGCGATGTTTTTGTGTTGAGTTTAGCTTGCGCATTATTTGCACCGGTGTATTTTGTGTTTCTATCAAGTTAAGTTAAAGAAGGAAAACTATTTTTTTTAAAAACTAATTATTTTATAGTTATTTATTTTATCGCAATACTATTATCCGGGGAATAGGTGGTAAGGGGTGCGTGAAATGTTTTGGATTGGAGAGGAGTTCTTACCCCACGGAAATGGATATGATTAGTTCATCTATCCTCCAGAACACAGCGCCAGGAGTGTACAGCGTTGTCATGTACATCCAACAGTACACATCTGTGCTGACACGATTGGATGAAGCTTTCTTGCTGACCTGTAATTTCACGACCTCTTCCGTCATCACCATTCAAAGTCTGGTTGTTACAGCATCAAAGTGAGTCCTATATCCACGGCCTGTAGGTTTTCTATATATACGGCCTGTAGGTTTTCTATATTACGGCCTGTAGGTTTTCTATATTACGGCCTGTAGTTTTTTTGTATTACGGCCTTGTGTGTTTACCTATCTTCTTTTTAAATTTAAAGTTGCACTTAAGCTTTGACCCATTATCTGTTTTGATAATGTCGTCACCAAGTAAAAGTCTGGCGTCCTACCATTACCCACTTCTCCCGTGATTTGGGAAAAGATTGTTTACGTTCTGATTTGTTCTGAAGAATGCAGTTTCTAGAGTTTTGTTCTGAAGAGCTCTATATCCTTCCCTATAAATAAGCCGGCAGTTTTCCCAGCAGGGAGAGATTTGTGCTTACTTCCGAGACACGAGACACATTACGAGACTTAGAATACTCATAGGAGCCTTACCAGATGTTATTGTTTGTGTGTGTGTGTGAACATATAGATTTGTATTTTTCGAGCATTATACTTTTTCACTTGCTGTGCTGCAAGTTAAAACCGTTTTTATTTCTGTACAATTGTATTTTTATATTAATTTAATAGTATAATTTAATTGAATATTGCCAATATAACAAGCGTTGGTATTGTTTTTATTTGTGAACTGTTTGCAACCCTTTGTTATGCATTGTTCATTTACCGAGCCAAATTTTAATGCTGATTAAATGAACAGAACCATTTAACGGTGCGTGACACAACGAGCAGCCTAATATTTACTACGTTCATTGCATAGATTAATTTAAAAAAAATATATATTCTGATGGGTTGAACTGAAATTGTGCTTAGTTGCAACTGAAATTATCATTGGTTGTAGCTAAAATTGTGATTGGTTGGAAATGAAATTGTAATTGGCTGGAACTTAAAGTTTGATTAGGCCTTTTGAGTTTCATTGAAGTTCATTAAAAGGAACTGACCTTTCGACCTTGACTTGCACTCCCCAGTTATCCCCCAACTCAATCCCCGCCCCAAAGGACGACAACTGCATCTCTGTCTGTCGTGTCAGGTACTGGAACGGCCGGGTTAACCTCCCTTGTTGTTGGTGACCAGATCCGCCTTGTGGCACAACTTCTAGACAGTCGTACGTAATGTGTTTGTGTGTACCAGCTACATTGTTCAGTTTGTTTGTATGTACCACCTACATTTGTCAAAGGGTTTCCATGTACCTGCTGCATTCGTCAATGTGTTAGTATGTACCAGTAACATTTGTCAATGTTTTATATGTACCAGCTACATTTGTCAATGTATTTGTACGTACCAGCTACATTCATCAATGTGTTAGTATTTACCAGCTACGTTTGTAAATGTGTTTGTATGTACCAGCTACAGACGTACATGCCCATGTATATCCCAGCTATAGTCTTTTACATTTCACATGTAAACAGCTGTTCTTAAACTTAACTTTGGTTCTTTAGTTTGCATTTTAGAAGAAACAATTAAATAAACTACATAAGTCTGATATACTACATAAGTCTGATATACTACATAAGTCTGATATACTACATAAGTCTGATATACTACATAAGTCTGATATACTACATAAGTCTGATATACTACATAAGTCTGATATACTACATAAGTCTGATATACTACATAAGTCTGATATACTACATAAGTCTGATATACTACATAAGTCTGATATACTACATAAGTCTGATATACTACATAAGTCTGATATACTACATAAGTCTGATATACTACATAAGTCTGATATACTACATAAGTCTGATATACTACATAAGTCTGATATACTACATAAATCGGATTTACCACATAAGTCTGATTTATTACATAAGTATAATATACCACATAAATCTGGCACATTACTTAACTTGTCCTCTTAACCTGCTCAAGGTGAAGACAAAAAAACCAATGATCATTAATTATACTATAAATGTTGCGTTATTTTAGCTCTGCTAGTCTGACATCAATTGTAGCTCTGCTAGTCTGACATCAATTGTAGCTCTGCTAGTCTGACATCAATTGTAGCTCTGCTAGTCTGACATCAATTTTAGCTCTGCTAGTCTGACATCAATTTTAGCTCTGCTAGTCTGACATCAATTTTAGCTCTGCTAGTCTGACATCAATTTTAGCTCTGCTAGTCTGACATCAATTTTAGCTCTGCTAGTCTGACATCAATTTTAGCTCTGCTAGTCTGACATCAATTTTAGCTCTGCTAGTCTGACATCAATTGTAGCTCTGCTAGTCTGACATCAATTTTAGCTCTGCTAGTCTGACATCAATTGTAGCTCTGCTAGTCTCACATCAACAAATTTCCGGTGGAAAGCATCGCCACCTGGTGTTATTGTAAAAGTCGTCATTAAACGAATACCGCTAATGTTGTAGTCTACATGTACACAAAACAACGTATCCATGTTTGTGTCTCAGCTGCTGTGGGTCTGAGGATCACGTCTTGTACTGCCAGCCCTGGTCCAGGCCTACTTCCGGTCATTCAGGTTCTCAATTCAAAAGGGCAAGTCAATTTGTTTTATATTTTACTGCGAATAAAAAGTGGCTATTCTATTCCCTCTTAAGGCAGTCTGTTTATTGGGGAAACCTTTACTTGTCTGCCATTATTTGTCTGCTTTTCTTTGTCCGCCCTTGTTTGTCAACCTTCATATGTCTGCCTTTAATTGTCTGCCTTAGTTTGTCTGCTTTGTTTGTCTGCCTTAACTTGTTTGATATACTTGTCTGCCTTTATTTGTCTGCCTTCACTCACCATGAATTTTCTATCGCTGCATACTGGCATAAATGTACGTTAATCGACCAGTTCAATTCTTATTGTCTATTTATGATAATAGTACTATTTGTGATCTGGATAAGACATGAACTATTCAAGATAAAACCACTATAAATTTCAGCATGCGATTGATCAGATCCAATAAATAGTACGCAAGGGAAAATTTCGTCATCTTGTTTTTCAAAAAACATCTTTTTTTTTTTCATGGTGTTTTGAGAAAGACTTGGTTTATCCATGGCTCATAATAACCCCTTGTACAGCATCATGGCTCATTATGGACCTTTGTACAGCATCATGACTCATAATGACCCCATGTACAGACTCATGGCTCATTATGGACCTATACACAGCATAATGGTTCATTATGGACCACATGCACAGTGTCATGGGTCATAAGTGTAGTTATCACGAATCTCACAGTTGGCCATAAGTGCAGTTATCACGAATCTCACTGTTGGCCATAAGTGTAGTTATCACGAATCTCACGGTTGGCCATAAGTGTAGTTATCACGAATCTCACTGTTGGCCATAAGTGTAGTTATCACGAATCTCACAGTTGGCCATAAGTGCAGTTATCACGAATCTCACAGTTGGCCATAAGTGCAGTTATCACGAATCTCACAGTTGGCCATAAGTGTAGTTATCACGAATCTCACAGTTGGCCATAAGTGTAGTTATCACGAATCTCACTGTTGGCCATAAGTGTAGTTATCACGAATCTCACAGTTGGCCATAAGTGCAGTTATCACGAATCTCACAGTTGGCCATAAGTGTAGTTATCACGAATCTCACAGTTGGCCATAAGTGTAGTTATCACGAATCTCACAGTTGGCCATAAGTGCAGTTATCACGAATCTCACTGTTGGTCATAAGTGTAGTTATCACGAATCTCACAGTTGGCCATAAGTGCAGTTATCATGAATCTCACAGTTGGCCATAAGTGTAGTTATCACGAATCTCACAGTTGGCCATAAGTGCAGTTATCACGAATCTCACAGTTGGCCATAAGTGCAGATATCACGAATCTCACAGTTGGCCATAAGTGTAGTTATCACGAATCTCACAGTTGGCCATAAGTTCAGTTATCACGAATCTCACAGTTGGCCATAAGTGTAGATATCACGAATCTCACGACCCATTTACAGCCTATTAACTTATTGCTGGGAAAATTACCTTTTAGCTGGAGTTTCAGTTCTGTTGATTTGGCACATAGTGTAGTTTCTATCTACATACATTTATACATGATGCATTGCTTTACCTTATGTGATTATGTGCATTAACAAGAATTCTTCATGTAAATGTGTAGTTCTAGTATGTCTTATGATCAGTGCTCTATTACAGGTGCTCAACTAGCCCAACCCTTGTGACCCCGTTCATTGGTCAGTCTCCTACTGGGACGGTAGCAATGACCAATCTCTTCAGTGCTTTTAAATTCGACCAGTCCAACACCGTGTACTTTCAATGCCAGGCCTTTCTGTGTTACGACAGTGACCTGAGCTGTCTCGGGGTAGGTAGCTGTCCCGGAGTAAGTAGCTATCTCGGGGTGATTGTCTCGGGGTAAGTAGCTGTCTGAGAGTAATTGTCTCGGGTAAGCAGCTGTCTCAGATAAATTGTCTCGGGTTAAGTAGCTGTCTGAGAGTAATATCTCGGGTAAGTAGCTGCCCCGGAGTAAGTAGCTATCTCGGGGTGATTGTCTCGGGTTAAGTAGCTGTCTGAGAGTAATATCTCGGGTAAGTAGCTGCCCCGGAGTAAGTAGCTATCTCGGGGTAATTGTCTCGGGGTAAGTAGCTGTCTGAGAGTAATTGTCTCGGGTAAGTAGCTGTCTGAGAGTAATTGTCTCGGGGTAGTAGCTGTCTCAGAGTAATTGTCTTGGGGTAAGTAGCTGTCTCAGAGTAATTGTCTAGGGTTAAGTAGCTGTCTGAGAGTAATGTCTCGGGTAGTAGCTGCATGAGAGTAATTGTCTCGGGGTAAGTAGCTGTCTCAGATTAATTGTCTCGGGTTAAGTAGCTGTCTGAGAGTAATTCTCGGTAAAGTAGCTGTCTCAGGGTAAATAGCTGTCTCGGGGTAAGCAGCTTCCCGGAGTAAGTAGCTGTCTCGGGGTAAGTAGCTGTCTCAGAGTAATTGTCTCGGGGTAAGTAGTTGTCTGAGAGTAAGTAACTGTCTCAGGGTAAGTAGCTGTCTCGGAATATGTAGCTGTCTAGGGTAAGTAGCTTTCTCAGAGTAAGTAGCTTATCAGGGTAATTAGCTTTTTCGGAGTAAGTATTTGTCTCGGGGTAAGTAGATATCTTCGGGTAAGTAGATGTCTCATAGTAAGTAGTTTTCTCGATGTAAGTAGCTGTTTCAGAGTAAGTAGCTGTCTCAGGGTAAGTATGTGTCTCTGGTTATGACTATGTTTTGATGTAAATTAATATCTCGTGGTATCGATGTCGATTAAGTAACTGCCTCGAAATTATTGTCTCGGGGTAAGTAACTGTCTTGGGGCTAGTACTGTCTTGGGGTAAGTAACTGCCTCAGGGTAAGTATATGTCTTGGGTAAGTAACTGTTTCGGGGTAAGTTACTGTGTCTGAACCAGTAAAAAAAAGTACAGGGAAATATAGGGGTCAAGATGGGGGGCAAAGATAGGGGGCAAAGATAGGGGGCAAAGATAGGGGGCAAAGATAGGGGGCAAAGATAGGGGGCAAAGATAGGGGGCAAAGATAGGGGGCAAAGATAGGGGGCAAAGATAGGGGGCAAAGATAGGGGGCAAAGATAGGGGGCAAAGATAGGGGGCAAAGATAGGGGGCAAAGAGTTAACACAAGAGTTTGGTGTTTGGAGGTTGGGGCACTCTTCGCTTGTTAAGATCAAATGCTTATTTTGATGAATATTTAGCTAATTTTCAATGTACATTGATTAAGTATTAATTAATTCAGATAATTGAATGATTGCTGACCCTGGTTTTGATATTTCCAGAACCACTGCACCGTAAACGCCCGACGTAGGCGTGAGGCGCCCCTAACAACTGTTGAGGTGTTGGGCGTGGCCGTCGTTGTGGTGGAGAATGTCAACAGTACAGGTCCGAGAGGTTGGTCTGAGACGAAATAAAACTTATAACCTGCTGTTGTAACACCTACCAGGCAATATATGTAACCAACTGTTGTAACACCTACCAGGCAATATGTGACCCACTGTTGTAGCACCTACCAGACATTATGTGACCTGGTGTTGTAAAACCCACCAGGCAATATGTGACCTACTGTTGTAACACCCACCAGGCAATATGTTACCTACTGTTGTAACACCTACCAGGCAATATATGTGACCAACTGTTGTAACACCTACCAGGCAATATGTGACCCACTGTTGTAACACCTACCAGGCAATATGTGGCCTGGTGTTCTAAAACCCATTAGGCAATATGTGACCTACTGTTGTAACACCCACCAGGCAATATGTGACCTATTGTTGTAACACCTACCAGGCAATATGTGACCTACTGTTGTAACACCTATCAGGCAATATGTGACCCACTGTTGTAACACAGACAGTCTGTTGTACTATCAGGCAACATGATATACTGTTTTAACACCTATTATATGTAGTACTACCAGGCAGAGACGTAGCGAGGGTCTTTGGCGCCCGGGGACAAGATTCGCGGCCGGGGACAAGATCCATTTTAAAGCGCCCCCTTTTCTTTTTTTCAACTCTCAAACCCATAATTTTTACCAATAATAAAATATCAAAGCACATTTTAGCGCCCCTAACTAGCCTGCGCCCGGGGAATCTGTCCCCCCTGCCCCCCTCTCACTACGCCTCTGCTACCAGGCAATATATGACCTACTGTTGTAACACAGAAAGTTTGTAGTACTGTCAGGCAACATATGACCTACTGCTGTGACACCGGTAGATTGTGGTAGATCTAGATCTACTACCAGGCAACAGTTTTCAGCTAACGATGAAATTAGTGCGGGGAATTAAATGTTTACAAACATTCGCTTTCAATTTTCATGACTACTTTAATGCTAATTTCTTGTTCGATGGTTTGGTTTGAAAATAAAACGAGTTAATTTATTGGCGTTAGGTTGCATGACTTTATGAAATTATACGGTTACGTTTATATGTTTTGATCAATTTATTCAAACGTTTATGTTTTGATCAATTTATACCAACGTTTATGTTTCTTAATCCATTTATACAAAGTTACGTATATGTTTTTGATCCATTTATACAAAGTTACGTTTATATGTTTTGATCAATTTATACAAAGTTACGTTTATATGTTTTGATCAATTTATACCAACGTTTATGTTTCTTAATCCATTTATACAAAGTTACGTTTATATGTTTTGATCAATTTATACAAACGTTTATGTTTCTTAATCCATTTATACAAAGTTTCGTTTATGTTTTTGATCCATTTATACAAGTTACGTTTATATGTTTTGATCAATTCATACCAACGTTTATGTTTCTTAATCCATTTATACAAATTTACGTTTATGTTTCTTAATCCATTTATACAAAGTTACGTTTATATGTTTTGATCAATTTATACAAACGTTTATGTTTCTTAATCCATTTATACAAAGTTACGCTTATGTTTTTGATCCATTTATACAAAGTTACGTCTATATGTTTTGATCCATTTATACAAAGGTACGTTTATATGTTTTGATCAATTTATACAACGATCCGTTTATGTTTTTTACCAATTTATCTTTAATGCTTTTGTTTAGTCGACTCTGAAGACTGTGTTACCAACCTTGATCCTTATTTGGTCTCCTCAGATACGAAAGACAACAGCCACATCGTTGGCGTGTCTGCAACGGACCAGAGTCTTAGCGTCAACACACATCCACCTGTCCTTCCACCGTCATCTCCCTCCACCTGGCCACTGTCGGCCATTGTCTCAGTGGCCGTCCTGGCCACCGTGCTGGCGGTCAGTTGTATCGGAAGTGCTGGTCTCGTGCTGGCGCGCAGACGTGACAAGATGGCGTGAGAGGCAGCGAGGGCTCCCGATATCACCTCAAGCCTGGGGTCAGTATCAGGGCTGAGGAGAGCAAGATGCGAGTTCGACTATGTACCCATTCACATCCTGGCCAATTCTACGCCTCTGACTGCACACTCCGTCAATGATAACATTACACATTTGTTCTCTCATATAAACATTAATTATGTACAGAGTTAAACATTAAAAGAAAAAACTGGAATTAAAACAGCCAAATGGTTTTGCTTGTTTCATTATCAACTACACCAGACTGACCTCATGTTATCGGAATGTCCTCGACCCACCAAGCTGGATGGAGTACTGTTGATATGCATTGTCATTTAATAGTTCTTTGAGAATATTGAAAGTTTCGTTCATCCTCATATAAAGACTTAATCTCGTTTCTGTTTTGTCTTATGAAAATATGTTGCAGACATTATTTTAAAATAACCTTATAAAATAATATGTACTATTGAATCGTTAAAGCCCAGCTAGTGTTTTAACCTGGTGCCCCAAAGACTCGCTTCGGCACTGCATAAAAACCTGGTGCCTCACACTCTCCTGAGCACTGCATAATAACCTGGTGCCCCAAAGACATGCTTTGGCGCTGCATAATAACCTGGTGCCCGAAAGACTTGCTTGGGCACTGTATATTAACCTGGTGCCTCAAAGACTCGCTTGGGCACTGTAAAATAAGACAAATTGCTACATATCCAAGCTTGCAGTTTGTCTTTTCTGGACATACGACTCGTGCATATAGACTACATACACATTGATGGAAATCAACGCTAAACACACAATTATGGGATGGCTAAAATATATTTTGAAAAGAAACTGGTCTATTTTGTTGATCAAACTATCTCAATAGCATGTCAACAAACGATGATTAGAATCCAAATAGGAAATGAACGCGTGGGAAGCTAAAAATAGACCGGGAGACTAAAGAGGTTCACTGATGATGAGCTGAAGGATGTGCTCAAGTTAAACTGTTGACGAAGCTCTGGTGACGAGACGTCACTGAAAAGCACTAGACGCACCGCATTTCAATTAAAACATTAATTCAAAGACATCCATCGCAGCGCCCCTTATCTACGCCTATGACTTAAATATACTCATCAGTCGCAGGACTTACTCACCTTGTTTATAACGACTGCTAAATATTTCTCAGAGGTCGTTTTTTCTAAACGGTTGATCTAATCCTAATGGATTATCGTGGGTTAATCTATTAATATTACGCAGAGACGTCTCGTAGGTAATTAGGCATTGTAGGGTCTTGACTGCTCTAATCATAAGTCATGTATCCATCGTCCACTATTATTTCATTTGTTTAGTTTTGACACGAAGCGTTGAGCCAGGTACAGTCAAAGGAACTGGGTGTAAACTAAGCCATGTGTGTTTTTAGTTTCCAGGCCAGTCCAAGAACGCTGCCAGGTCATAGGTGCGGAATGCACTCTGTGTTTCTGTATGATTTAATTCAGATTCTAATATGTAAATTTGATGTAGTATGTCGTACAGTGAAGACTTTTCTTGTCTTCCATCATAAGCCATGTTGTCTTCAGTCAAAAGCCATGTTGATTGTTCATGGAATAAGTGACACCTCTACATCATGGTTTTCCATCCCTTGGGTCGCAACACCATTGTTTCCCCCACTAATATAGTTTTAGTGGTGCCGCCGGTGAAGAAGTCGAGTTATGATTTAAAACCACTTTTCACACTTCATTTTTTAATCGGCGTCTTTCGGTTTGAATGATATCATAGTGATGCCACTGGCTTCTACATAAACTTGTGAGAGGGAGTTCTCAAGGCTGATTCGTTTAACCCCAAATACATGAAACATGACTAGTCATAAATATAACTAGACATAAATAGGACTAGACATAAATAGGACTAGACATTAATAGGACTAGACATAAATAGGACTAGACATAAATAGGACTAGACATAAATAAGACTAGACATAATTATGATAAGTCATAAATATGATTAGACATAAATAGGACTAGACATAAATAGGACTAGACATAAATATGATTAGGCATAAATATGATTAAACATAAATATGACTAGACATAAATATGACTAGACATAATTATGATTAGACATAAATATGATTAGACATACATAGGCCAAGAGATAAATATGATTAGACATAAATATGACTAGACATAAATATGATTAGACATAAATATGACTAGACATAAATATGACTAGACATAATTATGATAAGTCATAAATATGATTAGACATAAATAGGACTAGACATAAATAGGACTAGACATAAATATGTTTAGACATAAATATGACTAGACATAAATATGATTAGACATAAATATGACTAGACATAATTATGATTAGACATAAATGTGATTAGACATAAATGTGATTAGACATACATAGGACTAGAGATAAATAGGATTAGACATAAATATGACTAGATATAAATATGACTAGACATAAATATGACTAGACATAATTATGATTAGACATAAATATGATTAGACATACATAGGACTAGAGATAAATATGATTAGACATAATATGATTGGACATAAATATTACTATAGACATAAATATGACTAGACATAAATATAACTAGATATTACTATGATTAGACATGAATATGACTAGACATAAATATGAATAGACATAAATGATTTAAGAGAAATTTTGAAATAATAAAACAAAGATTTATTTCAAGCAACTTAACCAATCAAAGATGTGTCTGTAAAGAAAAATTAAAGAGTTTAACAGCAATGAATACAATATGAATATATGATAATTTATTGCTCGTGGATGATGGATTGGAATTGTGGATGATGGATTGGAACCGTGGAGGATGGATTGAAACCGTGGATGATGGATTGGAACTGTGGATGATGGATTGGAACTGTGGAGGATGTAATGAACTGTGGATAATGTATTAGAACTGTGGATGATGGATTGGAACTGTGGATGATGGATTGGAACTGTGGATTATGTATTGGAAGTGTGAATGATGTATTGGAACTGTGAAGGATGGATTCGAACTGTGGATGATGTATTGGAATTGTGGATGATGCATTGGTAGTGTGGATGCTGGATTGGAACTGTGGATGATGGATTGGAGAATGGGGAGGATGGATTGAAACTGTGGATGATGGATTGAAACTGTGGATGATGGATTGGAAGTGTGGATGATGGATTGGAACTGTGGATGATGTATTGGAACTGTGGATGATGGATTGGAACTGTGGATAATGGATTGGAACTGTGAAGGATGGATTGGAACTGTGAAGGATGGATTGGAACTGTGGATGATGGATTGGAACTGTGGAAGATGGATTGGAAATGTGGATGATGGATTGAAACTGTGAATGATGGATTTGAACTGTGGATGATGACTTGGAGAATGGGGAGAATGGATTAAAGCATGTGACTGATGACTTGAAGCCTGTTGATTTGATCTTCACGTCATTTGATCCGTGGATAGGATGAACTCATCCACACACATCCTGGCACATTTAACTTGAGTCGTCTTGAAAGGTCATAACCTTTTGTCTCGACACTGTCTCTGATGAGTACCAAGATGCCAGGGTCTAACGGTCATAACCTTTTGTCTCAACACTGTCTCTAATGAGTACCAAGATGCCAGAGTCTAACGGTCATAACCTTTTGTCTCAACACTGTCTCTAATGAGTACCAAGGGTCCAGGGTCTAACGGTCCTAACCTTTTGTCTCAACACTGTCTCTAATGAGTACCAAGGGTCCAGGGTCTAGCTCTCTGCTGTAATAGCTTTGACAACGGGGAGAACTTGCAAGGATACTTGCTGTTTAGATCACAACACTGGCAACAACGGGACAATATCAGGCAACTTCTATTGTTTGCTTTGAAAAGTCAGGTAAAAAGGTAATACACTTACCAATATGTTTCAGTTTGTAACGAAATAACTGTTACAAGAATCGAATTAATTAAGTATTTACCAAGAAGAGCCTTAACTCAAAAAAAATGTTTTAACTTAGGTAAATAATATTTGTAAGACATTCGTGAGAAAACTGTTGATTTTGTAAATATTTCTAAAGGTAAGGTCAACACACTACCGGAAAATTCTACTGATTAGGTCCAAATGACCTGTGGGTCTACCCGGAAATACTATTGATTAGGTCCATACGACCTCTGGGGCCGATTCTACTGATTAGGTCCACACGACCTGTCGGGCTACTGGCAGATTCTACTGATTAGGTCCACACGACCTGTCGGGCTACTGGCAGATTCTACTGATAGGTCCACACGACCCGTGGGTTTACCGGAAGATTCTATTATGTATCAATGTCCTCCTCGTCCACTTAGGTCACAGTTCTACAGTACAATGGCATAGTCTTAATAGAACTGGACGACACCACTTTATTAAGACCGTAATGCATGCCGCAAAGTCAAATATTTTAAAACAAGTTGTTTTGTTTTTTAAACAGTAGACCAAACATTGACTTCAATGATGTCACAACGAATCAAGTGGGTCCTTATGACCACTCTGGGGCACTTTTTAGGTCGATTTGACCCAGGGGCATCTCAGGTAGGACTCTTTTTTTTTCCCCACACGGATTTAGTTGAGCTTTTATTGCTATTAGACATGTATATACAGTGTCGGCACAACCACGTGACCACGTCCGTCATTGAATCAACTCGACCACAAGACAAACTTCATCAACTGTAGTGTGGGGCACACGGGCCAAGCTTGAACACAAAACACGATAGCAACACAGAGTACGGGATGAGACGGATGTATGTATCGGGGGCGTGTAACCCAGGGGCGGAGTTACACATGTCACTGTCATCGCAACACACACGCCGGACACACCCCCGACTCGTGTACTGCTCGATGGTACAGTTGTTGAAATCGTTTTGAGGTATGCACTCGTCGGCACAGCTCCGTACCGTGGATTTGTAGGTGACCTTCTCCGTCTCGCTCATCATCTCGAACACGACTTTCTGGGGAAGAGAAAGAAGACGATAGCAGTGGTGTATTTGGGTGTGGCGTACTTGGGTGTGGGGTGCCTGGGTGTGACGTACTTGGGTGTGGCGTGCCTGGATGTGACGTACTTGGGTGTGGCGTACTTGGGTGTGGCGTACTTGGGTGTGGCGTGCTTGAGAGTGGCGTACTTGAATGTGGCGTACTTGGATGTGGCGTACTTGGGCGTGGCGTACCGTTATAGTTTTAGAAGATGTGATCTGTGTTAAGATTTTG